TAAAAAACGAAATAACGTAAATCATTAAAATAAAAGAAATAACACAAATGAAAAAGAGGAAATACATTGCAAGCATGGTCATTGTTGCCGTTTCGTTGGCCGTTTGTTTAAGCTTTCATTATCCATTAATTTATTTATTTATTATCAGCTGATGTTCTTATTAAGCTTGGTATCCACTGCACCCATTTTTTTTTTTTTTTTTTTTTTTGGGGGGGGGGCAGTGTAATTTATTATTTAATAAAGTGTAAACAGATGCGTCTAAAATATTAATCATATCATGCTTAATTACGAAAAAAAGGTGAACATTCCAAACGATCTGTAAAGAAAATATATATTAAAACTAAATTTTAAAAAAACGAAACTAAAAAAAAAATTGAACGGGAGGAGCCAATTTGTCCTAGTTAAGTAAATATTTGCTTAATTCACGTAAATCATTTCATTCCGCTTAAAATTCCACCACACCTAAAGTAAAAAAAAATATCTATGTTTACATTGTACGACTTTCTCCTACGTTTAAAATATGAGTGCAATCGAGAAATCGGTCGTAAAGTAATTATTTCTGGCATCAAGAGACGATCAAAATAGCGACCAACGTCATTTGAATATCATTACTAGTTACCGTTAATTTTTATCATTGTTATGCATTACATGCGGTTTTATTTGCATTTGGAAAAGTAATATTTCTGACCGGCAGTGTATAAAATAGAGTAAGATTTATTTAAAATGAAGATTTTGATGATAATATAGCCGATGTTTAACCAAAGTAATTATATATATGGTGATTTATTAAGGAATGCCGACTTTAATCATGTAGTTGTCTGGAATGCCTACATGACCCCTGAAATGAATTAATTGCTGGAATATGCCCACCGTGTAGTGATTGAAGAATGCCCACTTTCCGGACGAAGTAACTGGACGATGCTCCGATACCCACTTTAATTATATAATGACTGGATATTGCCCTGCTGTCTACTTTAATTATGGCGTATGATAAAGACCGACTGTAATTACTTAGTAGATGAAGATAATTCTGCCTAATTGACAAACGAGAAGAGAGTTTTTCAAAATAATCTAATCACTATTTCATGTTTTTTTCAAGCTCTCAATCCAGAGAAAAATATACCTTGGAGTTAAAAATTGCAAGCGAGTTAACGCGTATAAAAGTATTGATGGGAAAATGTGTCTCTGCAGAGAGTTTAAGAAAGCGAGAATGAATATAGCTGCAAGTATCGTGGTAATTAAGAAGAAAAGGCAACACATAAAAAAAAAAAAAAAAAAAAAAAAATGAAAAGCAGTAATAAAAAGTAAAAAAAAAAAGAAAAAAAAAGGTAAACACACACGTCAAGCCAAACACACTTTTAAGCACAGAAAAGGAACAACTGGCAACTCACTCGCGTCCACAAGTTTTTTTGTTTTTTTTTCTAATCATATGACTCTTTAATACGTGTGTTTATACATGTTTGGATTTTCAAAACTTATATAAGTTTGAAATTTGCCGTATTCAATACCCTATTTTTTTTCTCAAAAGCTCCAAAACCCGGGGTAAGTTGCCAGTTATTTTTTTTCTGAGAGCTAAGAGCAAAAATAAAGAGAGAAACGACAATAAACAACGCATAATATAAAGCAACGAAGCGATAAAAACAAATACAATATAAAACAAGGAAAAACACCGAACAAAAACACACCAAGCACTCAAACCACACGTAAAAGCACAGCCATTGTCCTCTGTCACTGGCAATATATTTTATACCAAGGGTCCCTCAGCAAGACATTTCCAAAAGGAATTCTATCGCGGCTTCCTGAGGCACTGACCTTCGCGCTCCTGAATAGTCTAAGAAATTACAAAGACTGAGAAGAGAAGGATGAGTTTTTTTGTTTTTTTTTGCGATAACTTAACTTTTCTCTGAGGCAACAATATCGTGGGTTGTGGTATACTTATATACATATGTACATACATACATGTGTGTGTGTGTCTGTGCGTGTATGTGTATATATATATAAATGTATGCATGCAAGTATTGGTATGTATGTATGTATGTATATGTATGTTTATGTGTTTGTGTTTGTATATGTATATGTATGTGTTTAGGTATAAATATGTATTATATATATATGTATATATTATATATATATATATATATATATATATATATATATATATATATATATATATATATATATATATATATGCATGTATATATAAATATATGAATAAATAAATAAATATATATACATTATATATATACATATATATACATATATAAATAAATAAATATATATATATATATATATATATATATATATATATATATATATATATATATATATATATACATACATACATATATATATGCATATATATAACACAAGTCATATGGTACAGAGGAAATAGAGTCTCGAACGATAAGCCAAAGCTGCACGTGTACGAAGCGTTATCGGCTTCCGTCCGATAACGAACGGAAATGAAAAACAAAGAGTTTTTATGAAGCATATATAGCAC